ATTGATGACAAATGATTGGTTGAAATTGACCCATACACTTGGCACCACCTGGGGGAAAATTAAAGCCCCTTCTGATAGCAGGAAATAATCATCCTTGGGCTAGTAATTTTGATCACTTTATAAATCATGGGTATTCTACCTGCCTGTTATATAAAAAATGCTTTTGGAACCACTTGGTGGCACCACCACCACTTATTATGATAGTAGTAATTTACAGTTTTATAGATTCATTAAGTTGTCCCAGAATAATTTTCGAAATATACTTCAACCTAGTTTATACTTGTGCCATATTTCTGTTTACAATCGTTATATATTAATCAAATTAAAGGTTAGCTTATTGGCCCTGTATTATCTTGAGGTCCCTGAAGGAGCTGAAAAGGGATTCTTTTTGAAGGCTTCCATTTCCTAGTGCTTGTTTGTTCAATTGGATAAAAATTATAAAGTAATTTATTTCTTATTTTTGGGTTTTTAAAAAAAAAAAAAATTGTTCAGGTGAGCCTTACTGCCTCTGAGTATCTGATTTATTATGTAATTAATTGTTGCTTTAAATTTTTTAATCATTAACCATTAATTATCTAAAATAACGTATTAAAAACAGTACTGTGTCTGAGTACTCTCAGTTCTTTGATGAATTTCCTTATTGGCTGCTAGCTTCTACGCCTTAGTGGCTGCTGTTATTGGCTGCTAGCTTCAGCCTGGTGGCTACTTTCTGGGGTTTACAATAGATATTTATAAAGACATTCGTATCAGCTAATGTGACCAATATTCTTTAAGACCTTCATATTAATATTGTTCATGAATGCAAATACCTGATTTTTTTTTTACGAAGGAGCGTACATGTATATTGATTTTGAATTTCTGGGGATTGCGTAATTCTAAAAAAAAAAATCAATTAAATTTCAAAGGTTAAATAAACAAAGGATGCTTGGTATCAAAATATTGTTTCAAATCAGTAGAATTGAATGCTGTTGAAACCGAGTAAATACATGTAAACAAGGAAGGCTTATATACCAACTTTGTTCATCTGTACTTTAATTTCAAACACGACAGGATTTGTAATTAATTAAATTAATAATTTCTATATACTTTGGAAACTAACATCAAATATTTTAATATTTTCCTCGAGCTTTTTCTGCAGTTTCCTTGAAATGTTATGTGGGTCCGAGGTGTAATTTGAGCTTTACAGCGATTCTCTACTTTGTGTGAGGGGGGGGGGGGGCTTTCTACCCTTGGGTTAAGGTCAAAGGTTAAGGTCGATTTCAAGTTCATAGGTCAAGGTCATTTTGGTAAATAGCTAATATTAACATTTTATTCAGATTACTAGTGACCTTGACCTAAGTATCAAGGTCAAGGGTAAAAAGATCTGCTTCAGTATGTTACATGTTTTTACATTTATAAATTTTAATTCTGCATGAACATCAAAAGACTTAAGTATACTGTCGTTTAACGCATTGTGTGTGGGGATGTGCATGACGTCCTTGCATTTACTATTGATGGTAGAATAATGTAGGCATTCATTATATCTATTCATATTCGAAATTTCACCCTTTATTATTGAGAACTAAAAAATTATAGGCATTTAAAATTTTTGCCAATCAGATTGCAGCTAACGTGCATGTGCTTGCGTTCATGATTATTCTTATATATCATGCTGTAGATCTTCATAATGTATCACTATTTTCAAAATTTTAAAGGATTTTGTCAGAAAACAAAAAAGATATAAAGACTTTTGTTTCAAACCCAAATGGAACGAAGCGCACGTTCATGCGCGTGAGATCTTGCTGTTTTGACCATGTCATCATGTCTATACTACTATTATATCCTTATATTATGAGTTTCAAAGCATTTCATCAAAAATTTAAAAGGTTACGGCTATATCTATCTTTTTTATTTCACGGTTACACGTGCGCGCACATGCACGCACGTGCGCGCAAAATGACCTTCGTTCCGCACATCTACAAACATACCTAGTGACCCTAAAAAGGTTTCACCTAGATCGGATGAGTAGTTTACGAGAACACTCGCGGACAAAAAAAATACCGGAGAAGAAAATTCAGAAAAAAAGTAAAAAAAAAGTTCCCAAACTTGTTTGGGGAACATAATAATAATAAGAAACAGAGTAAAAAAAAAGTTTCCCCCAAATTCGTTTGGGGGAAAATAAAAAATGCAAGCAAAATAAAAAAAAATTACCTTTTCCTAAGTTGTCAAAATGTGCATGGTAATAAATTTAATGCTTTACTTTTTATCACTGCCTTATAAAGGCCAACTATCTACTTTCGGTTTGGTTTTATTTACAAATGGCGTTCGGGCTGGGGGTCCAGAGACGTACGTAGTAGACTATTATATGTCTCTGACAAACCTAACGTATATGTACCTTCTCGGGAGAGCATTGTAACTTTATAGAATACACAGTTTTAAATGGTAATGTAAATTAGATGTATTTTTATTAATTCGATTCATATTTATAATCTATTTTAAAGTTGGTGTAAGACACATTTATAAGCAAGCTGCATGTATAATAATGAAATTTAAAACACATAAATACACTTGTAAAAAAGTGTATCAAATGTGTCCGTAAAAATTGTACTTATTGATAAATAAACGTGTATAGACACTTCTATTTGATTCAGGTTAACATGTCAATGAAAGGTAGAACGATAAAAGCCATCTTGAATGAAGCGAAAAAAGGGACCAGTGCTGATTCATCTCGAATAGGAAGAGCTGAAGCCATATTAACCCAGCTTAAGAAGGACGCTGACTGGCTGCAGGCAAACAATTCACCTCTTGTAAGTACTATTCAAGTCAGAGAATAAGATAGTGCACTTTTTCATAAATTTGATTTTTTTTTTATTTTGTCCTTCAGAAAATACCCAAATGAATACATATGATTTCAACATTATACACATCTATAACAGAGAACAAAAATGTATTCTTTCTTTATTGTTTTTTTTACAGGACATATTGTTATATATTTCATGAATAAGAGCAACTGCTAAGTTTTAAGAGTTTTCACTACATACCGCTGATGTAGTTTTAAAAATTGTTTTGAATATATATTTCAACAGTACACAAAAATCAAGAGTGATATAGATAGAAAGACTTCATATTCAAGGCCAGAGGTAACCAAAGACTCAGATGATCTGTGCAGATTTTTGGCAACTCAAAAAAGTGCAGACAGTAACGTATGGAAAAATTATGTCTTCTTATTGGAATGTCGAAATCATAAAAGAGAATCGTCTGCTACCAAGGTAAGGTTATTTTGTCCAAAGGTGTTAATTGAATTGAAATTTTTAAATTTCTTTTGCTTTTATATATTATTAATCATTGAATTGTTTATTATTTCATGGAGCATTTCTTTACCCCTGCACTGTTTCTTTGAAAAATATTATGTTTTTGGATTCAGTAAAGGTATAAAGTATGATAATTCAAAATTTATACATTAGAACCAAGATGACCATTGATAGAGAAAAAGCATGAATTACTTAATTTCCTCATATAATAACTAAAAATCTATCATTAAAAGCAAATATTGTAAATATATAGAATAACAAAACTGTTATGAAGTCTGGAAATCAAAGAAAACCATCAACAAACGCTGGTAAGGTATGTATTTTTTTCTTTTGAAATATATTACCTTGATATTTTATGTCTTGTTTTCAACTGCATGAAATTGAGTTCCATTTATTCCCTGGCAAATTAAAAATTCTTTCGTGAATTTTTTTCAAGGTCTCTCTGTGTGTCTAAGGGTGTGTGGGTGTGGGTGGGTTTTTTTTTTTGGGGGGGGGGGTTGTTTTTTTATTTTTTTTAGTTTGCTTTCTTCCAAATTAGTATTCTTTACAGGATTTAATTAAGATTGAACAATACTTTTTTTCTTTGCATTTTACATTTAATTTATTTAATAATTGCAATCTTCTGCTACAATCGCTACACTGTACATGTGCATTGAAAAAAAACGAAATCAATCATTTACAGCTATCAACGACAAGCCCATCCAAGGACAATCAAGAATATCCAGTTTCCAATCACCAAATACGGTATATAAAATTAAAAATGGAACACATTGTGACTGGTTATCTGCAAACCTATTTTGATTAAAAATAGATTTGACTCCACATACAAGTACCCACATACAAGTACTCAGAATGTGGTGTAAAGATCCGTCGAGTTTTTCATTAATAATTTCTATATAATGTATAGACACTATATCTTCCAAAAATATGTTACGGTTTTTGTAGTATAGTGGTAGTGCATTTGCTTCGTAATCAAAACGCCTGGTTCAATTCCAGGTACGTCAAACGTATGACGTAAGCATAGGTACTTAAACTGTTCCTTCCCAAGCACCCGCCATAGATGTAAAAGTCAATAGCCTTTGGTTATGAGATTGAAATGGTACATGTTGTTTTACGTACCATTCGAGAAAATTTCACTCACATAGAGACGTCACCATATACCGATAAAGGGCTTCAAATTTTGACCCTTACTCGGCACTCTACTGCCATGAAGACTGTGAGTGATCTTTATCATGCCAACACCCACCCTGACAACAGTCACGGTAAGTCAGTTCGTAAAAACCCTCGCTCCGTATTCGGAATGTTTTGATATGGAATCTCGGCTGTGAATGACCAATGACGATAAATAATGAGTTGCAACTGTTCCTTCGCCATGTGCTCGGCATGTTGAAGTGATAGTTGCTGGTTCTTCGGATTAGACCTTAAAAACGAGTCCCATGTCACGGTAGACGTTGGCACGATAAAGATCTCTCACTGCTCAATGGCCGTGTACATGTAAGTGCTAAGTAGAGGTCAAAACTTGGAATCCCTTCACCGGTATTTGGTGATGTCTGTATGTGAATTAAATATTCTCGAATGAGGCGTAAAACAACATACAATCTCAATTTCATAACTTTTACATCTTTGGGTGCTTGGGAAGAAACATTCAATACCTAGCTTACGTCTTATGTTTGACCGGTGCAGTTAACTAGAATCGAACCCAGGCATCTTGATCACGAAACGAACGCCTACCACTACCTACCGTAACATTTTTGGAAGACATTTATTACAATTAAATTTGTTGAGAATTTCATTTAGAGACAAAGCCCTAGCCAAAGTTATGCTTATAATAAGGGATCAAGACAAAATGTTAGGAGTCAGACAATCGAGAATAGTGAGGTACAACAAAAAAACCACCGTCCACCAATGAGATCCTAAACAACAAATTAATGGAAGAAAATGAAAAGCTAAAGGAATCTGTAAACCAACAAAAGCAACAAATTGAGGAACTGACAACAAGGTATTAAACATCCTTCAAAGATTTAGGGAAAAGTTAAAAGGACATATTATTTCTTATGATTTTTAAACTTATATTGTATTTGGTTGTTAAGATACTCTTTTATTTGGCTTTTAAATGGCATTATTTTTCTGCAGATTGAGCAGATATGCCAGTCAGCAATTAACGCAAGGAAACCCAAATATAGCTGACCTAGTGATAAAATAGGCCAACTAAAATTGGAGAAAAGTTTGCCTTAGTGTATGATGACCAATGGTCAGAAGCCTTTGAAGCATTAAAAGTAGGAGGAAAGACAGAAGAGACTGTAGTCACAGAGCTAGCTAATTTAGTCCGGGTACATTATTTTTCTAATACTTATTTGCTCGCAGCAGTGCTAAAATGAGAAGCACACGATGATTAGAAAATGAAAGTTACAAGAAATATTCAATTCTTTGTTGTGATTTTTGTTGAGAGATTCAAGGACTCGGGGATCATTATGGCCATTGTTCACTTATTGTCTTTGTAGGAAGAAATTTATTTTCACAAGAACTATAAGACTATATATCTCTTACAACCAAATAGTCACATATCTAAAAGTTCGAATAAAATAATTTTTAATGGTCTAGAAAGAATCTAGTGGAACGTGATGCTTTTAAATGTAACATCCATTCTAAACATAATTTCTAGTTCCGGTATTATTCTGGGTACTGGATAATCTCTTTTTTGGACATGCATTTGCTTACGCGGATAGGCAAAATAATAACCACTTCTCTCAAGAAAAGAGGTGTTGGATACCACAGGTGACACACACACTTACTTATTATTTTTGCATTTTGTTTTTTTGGAACAATTTTGAACTGGATGTGGAATACAGAATAAAATACTTCTTAATATTGTAGGAATGCTACAAATTTTCTGATGAGACTAAAGATAAAATGAGAAACGAGTTGATGAAAAGAACAGCCGAGGTGATCAGAAACCCGTTGCAAGTAGGTCCTATGTATAGCTTTTAAAGTAACTTAAATTAATTAAAAAAAATTATTAAAAGTACATGTATATGTATAATACAGATAAATATCTTTTTTTGCTAAACTAAAGTTGCTCTACGGTATGAAAATTTTGGGTTTTTAAACCCTTTCAGTCATCACTGTCGATTACAGAAGAACCGAAAGATGTCCAATTAACAGGGTCAAATGCTATTTTTAATGACCTTTTGAAAAAAAATGGAGAACAGTCAGTCAAATGCCTTAAAATGGTAAATATACTGGATACATTGTATACATGCATGCGTGTCTTTTAGTAGATAAAACAATTTTGTTTACAAATAATAGAACTCAGTAAAACAGATAACATAAGCAATTATATTTTTAACATATATTTTTTACAAACTTTCCCTATATTTTCTTTTTTCCCACCAATTCCAAGCGTTTTTGATAAAATGAACAAATTAAGGCTTACAAAGCTCGACTTTTACTTACTTATCTAGGCGTTCAGAAAACAAAAGGAGAGCTACACACGTGATAAAAGACTTACTGATTATCTGGACATTCTGGTAGAACTCACGTGGAACATGGTCCTACAGGATCCGCCGATGGCCCTAAATTTTGCAAAAAACGGAGACAAGATCGACGAGAAATCATTCAAACACTATAGCAAGAAAGGCAATGTTGTGCTCCTTTGTGTATGGCCGGCTTTACATCTGTATAATGGTGGACCAATTGTGTCAAAAGGCTTTACTCTTCCTCAGTAATAGGCTACCAGTAATACAATGTGTACAAATTTTGTGAAGTACATGTAAAAACTGGACCATATTTCCCCTCCTTTCATACTGATATGAATTCAATTCGTTTTGGCTTTTTGATGCCAGAGAAAAATCATATTTTCTGATTGTTTTTTTTGTTGTTGTTGTCATTATAAGTACTTTAAAAGCAAATAATAATATGTGCGACAAGTATTTAACATTTTTAAGTACAAATATCTGAAAATCAACAAGGATATTGATTATTTTTTTTTATATTTTCATATTATTTTATTTGCAAGTCAAATATTTCAAGGAGATATTTCCGTCCGAGTGATTCATCTCTTGACTCCAGAATGTGTTCAATCCAACAGAATTTGAATTGTACTCAGTGTGATTTTTTAAAGTGCAAGAATAGTTTAAACTTTACATATTAAGTTTTCGTCAGTAAATATATTATTGTTCGTTGTATCGTGTTTGTTTTAACCACTCCTTTATTATAAATAAATTAATTTTACTCATTGTTCTTGTAATTACAATGTTTTAGAATCTATGAAAGTTATATTTAATTCTTTAAGATGTAGAAAAAAATAAAGTGTGTAATACTAAAGGGCAATTTCACTGGTTATACTAGTATCTTTATATATGTAATCTTTTTAAATACAAAAATGCTCATTTATAAGTTTTTTTAATACAAAAATGCAAATTTAAATTTGATTAATATTTTGATTCGACGTCTGCCTGTCTTTGAACAGATTTGTTATTAGTTTCCCCCCTTATTTTCCTCAAATGGTGTGGCAAAGTCACCCAATACGGCGTATATTTTCCTGAAGCAATCTGATCTATTTTCAAATTTTCTAGGGATATCAGAAAGCATTTTTCGTATTGATTGAAAAAGACAAAATGGATAGTCTGTAAACGTGTACACTTGCTTATTTGAAAACCATTTAAAGTTTTTGGACTGGTTGTGAATATTGAAATGAAAAGAAGCTTCGTTATTTGTTTGTTAATGTGATTTTAATTTTTTTTTAAACTTCTCCTTTAAGTGGCATATAACTCAGTGAGGATTATTCTGTACAAAATGAAGTGACACTTTACTGTAAACCAGTTGATAAATCTATTTTGAACTCATTATAATCAAAAAAAAAATGTCTGTTCAGTAACAATTTAAACGCCATTGTGATATCAACTTGTGTACTTTACTTTATCCTTAATGTTATCTCTAGAGATGACGCGCAAATACAATATAATATGAAAGTACGATAATAATTTAACATGGCGGATAGAAACAGGTAAGTATATATATATGGGTGAGATTGTTTTTTTGTTTATTTTAAATCACATAATACCTATTATGAATATGCATCCATTTAAATCATATAATACTTAGTTTGCGTAAAAGATTAATTTCTAAAACATTTATCAAATAATTGTAATCAAGTGGTATCAAGAAACAGTATAACGAATAATCGACTCGAGATTTTTGATCATGGGTACAACATTAAATTTTATAATCCTTTATTATAATTTTCTCAATATTATTTGGTATACTAGTATTGAAAAAATCGACTCGATTTTTTTTTATTTCTTGATGAAAGTGGTCTGTCCAGACAATTGCTGAGGTTTTCAAGAGATTTGGGAAACATATCGACGCGGAGCACCATAACAAAGCGTATAAAAAGTACAAAATACTTTATGATCATGCGAATTACCTGGCAAGAGAGATTTTGAAACGGTAATTAAAGAAATTATATGATATTATAATATTATAATATATGGTATGAAATTATGATATTATTGCACTGTTTTTTATCATTTATTTTGAAAAAATAGTATTAAAGTGTATGTAGAGTAAATTTCATATAATGGTATATGCAATTTAGATTCTTGTTTAAAAATATTTTCATGACAGCATGAGTATCTCAAATCCTTTTACGAAGAAAATGACGAAAATTACCCAGCATGCCTCAGTGATGATCAAAAGCAAGCATGCCTTCCTTTATATGACTTCTTGTGTAGTGCAGGGACAATGTTCGATTTGACCAAAGTTTGGCCGACCTATGTTTTTCTAGTGGAAGTGTATAATAAACAAAAAAAATCTTCAAAAACATCGGTATGGCGAAAGGAAATCATAACATATTTCTGTTAATTTATTTTTTTTTCAATCTCCAATACGAGAAAAAAAGATTGATAACTTCATTTCTTTATTTTTTTTTCCTCAAGGATCCTCATATTAAACAAGCAGACAATTTTATTCCCCATGTTTTGCAAAATATGAAATCTTGTATGGATTCAGAAACATGGAAAGCTGCAGAAGCCGAGTACTTAGATCTCCTTCAGAGACAAGAACAAATGAGACGTGATCCAGATTTGGTAAGCCTAATCATGATATCATGTAATCAAGTTATGATAATTCTTAATAATTGAGGTCGATACAAAAGTTTTTTCTACTGTGTGCCACTCTTTCAGCAATTTACAACTGCATAATGACTTTAGACATGAATGTGACTGTTAACATTTATTAAGAACTTAATTGTCAATTTAGACATTTGAATCGGATAAACAAAAAAAAATGAAAAGAAATTGTTGTTTCAATACGTGTTTTAGGCAAGAGAGAAAGAGCTTTGGGTTTTAAATGGTGATGTAGCTGCTCAGAAATTTCTTGATAATATTGAATACATGGATAGGGCTCTGTATGTAACAATAAAGGAAGCAGTGCAGAGGAATTTACAGGGAAGTCAGGCTACCTGGTGCCAGTATGGGTCTCTTCTCCATTCATCGGAGCTCCTTAGCCGGAGTGAAGAACAAAAGGTAAGCATCTTAATGACATTGTTTCTATTCTCTGTTTATTAAGAGATTTATTTGCTTTGTTCTGAAGTCAGCGAGAGTGTGCATGGTTCAATGAAATCAAGTTATTTTTTCCGCTACAGAGCCGACGATATGAAAATGAAATGGATGAGTTACGCGAGAAATGTGAACAGCTGAGAATGCAAAATGAATTAAAATCAAAAGAAATCGAGGAGCTTTCAACGAGGTTATCTCAATTTATACGTATATATGTAGCTTTAAGATCATACAATAATAGTCAATATATAGATTCAGAATATAGACTGAAAAAAAATAATCATACATAGTATAAATCCCCGTATGTCCATTTAGGCTAAGCCAAGTTGCCATTAGAGAGTGGCAACAGGTAATCCCAATTATACTGACCTCAGTGATTCCAATCGCCCCACTAAAATTGGGGAAACATTTTTGCAGTCACACGACAACGAATCCACCCAGTTATTTGAAAGTTTACAGTCGGAGCTAGAAGATGAAAAGGAAAGAATAACAAAACTGTGTAACTGTATTCAAGTGGGTACCATTAGTCTGTCTCAGTTCTTATGTGTTTTTGCGTGTTTGTTTTTTGCAAGTTATTTTTCATGTAGCATATATTTTAGGATGTTGTTTATGAAGATAACTTTTCTTTTGCTAGATGGCATACCGCTTTTGTAAAGAGAAAAACGTAAAACAGCTTGAAGACTTACAAACATGGACAACAAAGATTATGTCATATTGCCAAGACCAGAGAGATGTATGTATTCAATGATTCAACAAAACATCTTAGAGTAAAAAGATTAAAGTCGTTTTTAAGAATTACAACATAATGTACCATTATAATGATATGTACGGTTTGAAGGAGACCAGCGAACACAGAGATGTCATTGAAATGAAGAAAGATGCTGTTTATCACTTGTTAGAACTAAGGAAGCAGTTTTGTTCAATGTCTCTTCCTAGTATTTACCAGGTAAATTCAATCGATTTTATACTGATAACTAGAGGCGGTGGAAGAGAACTTACAGCATACACTGTAACAAGACTGTTACCTCTCCATTTCTGTTTTGCAGATGTTTAAGGAATCCTATACATT